CATTGTGCTGCTCTCATATCATTCTGAAGACCACACTTCTATTCCCATCCTTAATATATATATAAATTTTACTATCTTTGAAAAACAATATTCAAGACACTTTCATTGAGTAATTCAGACCCAACAGTTCTGTAAAATTTACCAAATGCACATCCTATCACTTCATGGCATAACCTCTTTTTCTCTTTCTCTTTATTCATTTTAAACTACTCAATATATCTGCTTACTATAAATTCGACTGTTCTTTCTCCTTCACCTACATCTTGTAATGCATCCCCTTCTCATCTTAAACACCCTGCTGTCCTCATATTTAATATACATGTTGTGAATATTTTTTCTTTAGGACATAAGGAGCAATATAGAGAAAATCTGTCAATTTCTGGGGAAGAATTTAGAACCTGAAGAATTGGAATTAGTAGTCAATAACAGCTCCTTCCAAAACATGAAAAACAACAAGATGACCAATTTTTCCATGTTGCATGAAAATATTCTGCATTCTGATTGCTTACTGACAAGAAAAGGTAAGAGGAAATATTCTGGTTTCAAAATTTATGACAGTAGAAATATGGCATTGTGTGCCCATTGACCTGTGAAATGGATGAAAAAGATGTGGTGCTTTTATACAATGAAGTATTACTCAGATATAAGGAATGACAAACTTGAATCCTTCATATATCAGTGGATGCCATTTGAAAATATACTACAAGTGAAAAAAACAGACTCACACATATAAATATCATGTAGTCTCCCTAGTATAGGATCCTAAAAGAAGGAATAAAAATTGAAAGGTATAACACAACTAAATGGAAGGTGAGAACTTGATTAAACAGTGAAGAGAGGGCAAGGAGAAAACTAGGAAATGTGGCAGGGCAAAACATACATTTATATACACAAGATGGTTAAGGCAATGATCCTGAGAATCTCCATCAGGTTTTTGAAACTATCAGTTACTTGATAGGATTCTCACCCTGACTAAATATATGCTGATACCTGTGAACTAAGCAAATGCACTGAGAATAACAATATGTAATACTAAGGTCATGCTTGGATTGCCTATCATTCTGGTCTTTGTAAGGTGTACTGCTTCTAATGTCATATCAATTACTGCCATACTCTCTCTCAAGTAAATGTTTGTTTAACAAAGAAAGAAATAAAGTAATAAATGAAAATATGAGACCAGAAAAAAATCATAGGACTGTCCTGATACAAAGTAGAATATGGTTAGATTTCTAAATTTCTGTGTAAATCCTGTAATTGATTATTTCTATATTATACTTTTTTGTTTTTTCCACATTCTGAAAGTATTTAAAGTTTACATGGCAACAATTAATAGAAAATATGTGTTTCATGTTATGTCCAAGGTGTTTGATATTCAGACAGATACTGATGTTAAGCTCAACAACCTATGTTTCGGGGTGATAATATCATTAAGCTTCTTTTCTGGAGGGTTAATGACTTAAGATTACAAACCAATAAATTAGAGAAAAGGGAGGGCTACGAGGATAGCCAACACCTTTGCCCTCACCCTTTAAGGTCAGTGATGACCCTGGAGATAAGAGAGCCTGTACTGTAACATCCTGTAACTCAGTTGTGTCCCAACTTTTCTGGTCAAGGATAATATGAGGCCCCAGAGGAAAGTGATCAATAATGTAGTATGCCAAAGGAGAGTCACATGGAGAGAAAACATCCTCTTAGGTTTTCACAGAGAGAAAACTGGTTAAGCAATGTCCGTGACTCATCCACTCAGCTGACACTGACAAAAGATCTGCAAAGCTGTGAAAGGCTCAAGTCGATAACTTCTGACATTGCCAGTCCTGCGGATAACCCACTATTATCCATGACTATTGGTTTACATTGGATTACTTTGCTGAATTCATGCACCTACAATATTTGAATGACCATGGAATACCCATCTCTGACAAAATTAAGCAAAAAAAAGGAAATATAATGAAGGACCATTTTGTAGTGAGAAAATATATATATATATATATATGTGTATAC